CAAATGCATAGTAGCTAAAAGCTCGAGCCACTGCTTTGGCCACAGTTTTGTATGAATGCCATAAAACTCTTGTGGGAAAATCCTGTACTTTGCGCGTACCAAAGAATTGGCGGAGGTCAAGAGCTTTATAGGGAAACCACTATGCTCCCTTGTTTCAGTAGAAGATCACGGCAAGGCACTACACGTTTGCTGGCTTGCTTCTAGCAGCCAACGGCATATTTCTTATAGTAGCTTATTCCTACCTATTCTACGTTCTTCGAAAAAGGCACGAAGCCCGGCTGCAGGTATGCTTCGATTTGACTTGACATGGCCTGTCGACTTTCGGCAGCAAATAAATTTCGTGTTGAAGCGTAAACACTGGTGTGCGAATTAAAGGAATCCTTCACGGAAAAATCATGATTCTATTTCAGCCATAAATCACTGGCTTGAGACTCATTATCCACGATAAGAATGAAAAGAACAGAAAATTGCTTTTGTTTTGGTAAAAATTCGAAAAATCGAAAGGGCTGCTACGCGTTCAAAGTACCGCCGGACATCTGTCACAAATGCTGGCGACGGGGATGCTTCCACTTGGTTCTTGGAGTGCCTTCACTAGAAACTCTTTCTGGCCTTTTGACTTATTGCATTCACATCTCACACTTCTACTGCATCCTATTCTATCGATCGATTTGTCTCTACTCTCCAAAGCTTCGAAACGCTCTTCATTGCGTCGCCTGATACGTAGGCGTTCTAAGGCGGACTTTTTTCATGCCTCGCTTTGGCTCCACCCCCCACCTTCGGTTGTCTATAGACTGCGGTTTCGTGAGTTTGTTTTTCTTTGGAAATTAGGCAAGATTCCCACAGGAAGGATTCCTTCAAGGACGAAAAGGTTAAAATACCAGCATACTTTCTTAATAAATAAAAGTAATTGAATGAAACTGTGATAGCATGGTGCCAAAGATCCTGCAGTGACGCACAACAAAGTGGGCCTTATATATCATGTGGATCGCTTCAATCTGGAGTGAAAAGGAACTAAGCACGCAGAACCATGGGTTTGGTGGAACACGAAGAGAGAGTATACTTGTCAAGGAGAAGCTGTTGTGGACATATAGTGTTTTGATCACAGCAAGTCTTAGAGATAACGCTGAATTCACTTCAGCGAGTGTTGTGCAGGAGTTTGGTGTTGCTCACAGCACTGCATTATGTGCATAGGGAGCGATATGAATCACAGTCCTTGGTGCCAGTAGAGGAGGAGGTCACGAACAATCGCAACAGTGGGTGATTGCTTCGTTTTGCAGCAGGCAAGAGTGGACCTACGTCAGTCATAGGCTGCAGGTTGCAAAAACATTTATAAGAATTGTGAGGCACGTAATCTCAAGCAAAACGGGGGCACAGTGCCGCTTAGAAAGGGTCTCTCTGTCAAAACAAATGTTCCATTGAAACCCGTGCATCGTGAGCAATTGCTAGGTGCCGAGACATTGGGAATGGACCACCAATTAGGAGAATCGCATGCTCTTTTCAGCAAATTCAGTGTGAGTGTGATTCTGAACTTACCCACATATGGCGAGAATGGAAACATGTAATGGACCAAGTAGCACCGCTCAACGTGCTTGTCTTGAATTTTCTGGAGCGTTAAATCCACTTCCCAAGAAAGGACACAAAACACGAAAATTTCGATTGCATTTGCAACATTTTTGAAATTGACATTCCTCAAGTGTGATGAAAATTTTAGGCAGTTGTCAGAACGCGGTCTCTGCTTGATCGCCCCAACAATATGTCGAAACGAAGAGAAAATCGTCTTCTGCTGATGGCTTCATGGATAGGTTTGAATTCCAGGCTTATAATTGATAAACAAGCGAAGCTAGAATATATAAGTGATGTCGAGAGTGGGCCGCTTGTAACCTCTGTAGCCTCGGTTAAATATATGCCCGCAACAATCCAAGTTCGCAAATTTAAAAAAAATGTGCCGCATGGGCATTTAGTAATGGTTAGACAACAAACTTGTCGAGCCAGGTCATCAGGTAAAAGAACAAGGAGAAAGATGAAATCTCTTTGTGGAGTGAAGCATTTAATGAGCTAGGCAAGCAAAAATGCTATCACTTTCCGCCTTTTATTTACAGTATCAATCCAATTGATGATGGTTCTACTCATGATGACGAGTCGATGGTCTCCCTTTACTCTAGAACAGTTTTACATTTTGTACGATAACTTAAGGTGAGTCTTCCCTTCATCAGAGCATAATCTACCAAACTTAGCAACTGCAGGCAAAAACAGTGCAAATGATTTGAAAATTTTCCAGCTCTATCTACTCCGGCATCAGCGCTTATTTGCTATGGGTCTTCAGCGACGCTCTTCGACATCACGTATATTTATTGCTAAGAATTAGGAAGCGCTTCCGTTAATCCAGCCATCACTGTTGATGTCCTCCAACTGCTCAGTTCAGAGGCAGAGTGTGCGACAATAATCTCTTCCACCATCGATGTCGCAGATGATGCCGTGAAACGATGAAGCTCATGGCGACCGCCCGAATTTGCAAGATAAGGGGAGGTTCAATAAAAAGGACGGCCCTTGCGGCGGGTTTCACGGGTGCGTTGCGTGCTACGTCTCCAAGCTGTGATCGTGTACCCCCATGCAACCCGTTTCTCCATTTGCATTGAAGATATCTGGAGGTTGAAAAAATTGGGCAACCCACAGCAAGCTCGGCAGCCCTTTTGTGACACCTCTCAAGTAGATGATAAAGGTATTGTTTACTGGATGTGGTTTATTAGTTGAACAGGCAGATCTGCTTCAGCAGGATTAGTAGCTTACTGTGGTTCACGTTTAGTGAGCGGCAAGGTTCCGAACCACAGGCCTTTATTCAAATCTGAAAAAGTCCATATTTCTGGTGGGCCAACAAATCAGGGTATCAGATTTATGTGGCACGAGCATTTAGTCATATTGTGAAGGTTGCTAAGCACACAATCCTTTTTGCTTTGGACTCTTTTTTATAGTAGTAACTCAACTAATCGCTGCTATACTTCATGTTGATCGCTGATCAAAGTTCCGCTTCACATTAGATAGGTCTTACATTTTGTACGTCATTCCGCTCTCGAGATGTTTTTTTTTGTTACTAAACTTCTTCAATTCAAAAAAGCATACTGTTGAGAGCATTGGCCTGATATCGTCTAATTTGCGCTACGAGGTGGGAATAGGGATGGCAAAAACACACGATATTTTTCGTAACCGAAAACCACGCACCGAATTTTTGAGAGAATGCGACATAAAGTATAATGTGATGTGTGAATAAAATAATGAATAAGATAAAGTATGAGTATGATAAAGAGAGGGTGGCAACATCAGGCCTAGTGCACACAATCTTCTGATGGATCCCACTACGCTTCGAAATGTTGTCCTAAACCATAACACTGAGTCTGTGTTTCCTTAACATCACTGATATGAGTTCTTTTTTTCGTAGAATTCTAAAGTTAAGTGTGAGCAAAACAAAATTCAATTGTAGACTACCTGAATTCTGATCTATTTTTCACCACAACCTTCGCTGTGTAGTGAGCTTTTGTCTTGATTTGTATCCAGCAGAAAAAATTGATCATGGCCTCCGCTTTTCTGAACTGCGACTACTGGCCTTCATCCAACCCAGTATTGTGTTGATCTGGTATGATCAGGCTGCACATAGTATCTATCTACATATCTATATATACTTTGACTAAAACAGGCTGGGTGAATTGACAGTAATTTCAGATTATTAGGATGTTGAACGTTGTATCCCAGTAAAATTTTATTTGATTACATGTGTTGTTTACTATTGTTGGTTTGCAGCTGCTTGCTGTACTATAGACTAGGCTGTATTAGTATAAGTTCTGCAGCTGAATTTTCTAGGTACCTATTATATTAACATATAGTTACGTTTTTTTAACAGTAGCAATAATGTGCATGGGTCACATGGGTGCACCTGCGAATGCTCACTGAAATTCATGCAGGCCGCCTACATATAGGGGCACAAAAAAGATTTGTATCACTTGGTATCTTCTATGGCTTCCGAAGTTCGTAGTGCTCCCTTGCTACGCTGATTCATTTGATATTACAGTGTTTTCACGCCCAATCCGTAAACCTTGCATTTAGTTTCAAGAACGTTACTCCCAGTTTCTTGAAAATTACATCCAATCTCGTGAACGTTAAACGTTGAGTTGTCCCCAATCGGTTAAGCTTGCAACCAATTTCGTCATTCTAAACCCCAACTCATCATTGTTGCAATCAATTTCATAAATCTTGCAATCGGGTATCTTCACTATTACAACCCCGGTGGGGAGAGATCAGTCGAAAAAATTGTCGCCGAACCTTTTGTATGGGGATCATTGAGGGTCATCCATTCTTGGCGGTAGTAAATGGTCTATTCAACATGAGGCGGCGCCAATTCGCTATAAACTTGTGCATAGGGGTTTCCTGGGGCCCTGATTACAAAGGTCACATTCGTTTTTGTCGTTGGCGCTATTCGGCGCCTATTTCCTGCTCGTCTGCGCCCTCGCACTAATTAGATCGCAATCAGGACTAAGCCTTTGAATAGTGGAGGGCTCCTAATAAGTAAGTACGTGAACTGCGATCTACACACTCCAACCTTTGCAATACGGTGCGTGATATTCCCACTCCAGAGTCACACCGCTCACTTTTCTAGGCTTTCTGGGCACTTTCTAGGCTCCGTAAGAGAGCTCAGGATAGCAGAAAACATGCGTTAGAAAGTGCAAATGTCAAAAATGGTTGTCGTATATGTCGTATACGCAACTAAGCCACCAAATAAACATTATGTTATAGTTCACACCCAATTTGGTGAAAAAAGCCGACATGCGCGAGCTGGCGCCAAAAGGCGCCAAAGCCGATGTCATATTCGGGGTGAGGTCTAGTAATAAGCCCTGAATTGGTAGGAATCACTCGTATCGCCACCTGACGCCAAATGGCACCAAAAACCTTAATAACCTTCCTGAAGAGAGGTTTCAGCAATAGTGCCCGAAAATGACTGCAATGAATGATGAATGGTTGATTACAAATATGACGAATTGGAGTTCGGAATGAGAAAGTTGGCTGGAATGCTTACGAATCAGGGTGGAGGAAGAAAATTGGCTATAAGGTTTATGAAATCGAATGCAACGTTTAAAAGGAGAAGTAACGTCTCCAAAATCGAATGCAACATTTCTGAGTTGGCCTGCTACTGCACTCATTTCAAAGCAGCATCAATGAAAATGAACGTAGCTGGATCATTGTCTCAACCAGGGTCAAGCGAGGGGTCGAGGAAAATTTTGAAATACGACCCCCCCAGAGGCTGAAGTCCATTAAACCACCCTCTCCGCAAGCCGAAGTATGAAACCTCCCCACCTGTTCATCGAAAAAGCCCTATTACCTCATCCTCCATCATAAAAACCCGTTCAAGAAGTACAAAAGTAGAAAATGTAGAAAAAGTCAAAAAAAAAGATCATTATTAATGAGTCCTACCAACAAATGGAGCAAAAAACCACGAACTAGTCATGAAAAAGCATACTAAGGCAGCATCTCTTCTTTCTCTACTTCCTTAAGAACACTTACCACAGAGGATGTTCTCGACCACACGTCCACCTTTCGGTTGAAAAAAGCCTTGAAACCGCCTTAGCCAGCTGAGTGTTGACTGCTCTTTGGCGTTGACCGTGGAGCAGCTTATCTACTATTGAAATTTGAACAAATATTCAAATGATTATAACTTTCTTCAAATATGACGAATTTTCAATCTAAAAACAGATTTGGAGGTGCACTTTCTAACCATTACAAAAATTGTGAAAGCTGAAGAGATTTAACAAGGTTAGATTGATTAACGAGGGAAATTCGTGATGAGTGCGAGTTGTTACACTTTCCAAAGTCATAAACTTGTCCAATCTGAAAACGAATACGTCGTCATAAACCAGAAGATTTTGCTTCATTCAACGATAACTAGGAAAGCCTGATACGTCCAGTGTTTAAAAAATGGCCACATTGAGGATTTTTGCCGAGGACCGCCGAAAAGTACATTTTCTGCTGCATTGCCACTATATCAACGACTATAGCTGCTTTAAGGGGCGATTTTGTACAAAAGGGAGAGCATCGGGATCCACTAGCTTGTTTCTTACAATAGGTGTGGAATTGCTCGAAGAATCGCAACTTTAATGCTTATATGTTCATGAATTTGACGCTGAAGGCTGCAATTTCTAGTTGAATAGTGAACTCCTCCCTGTAATTTCACACGGAACCTTTTAGAATCCTCTTGATTTTTCTTGGATCAACATTTTTCCTCCAGCGAACCGTGATTGCAGCGCGCGTAACTGGGTTCACTCGGGGACGCGTTGTGTGCTCTACATCCCTTCAGATTCGAGGATTCATTTGGAAGGTAATACCCGTCTCTTAAGGCCTGCGGATTTCAGTTTCTTCAACTTGCGTCGTGATAAAAACTGTGGTGAGTAAGAGTCTCTACGCGGACCCCTTTGAATCACGCAATTTCATGAGCCGAATAATATTGTAACTGGAAATCGTCTGGCCTTTCATGGCATCGATTCGATCCTCGATGTTTGTATTCCGAAAAGTGGTGATCCTAGTGCATTGATCCGACCCAATCTCTTGCTCTCAGGGGCCTAATACGACCCCCCCCCTGTCGACCTGTCCTCAACGGACGCTTTACCTGGTCTCAACCAGCATTGCTGTTTCAAATGGATTTACAGAAAGATCTTTATATAGGAAGGATTTTCTGAATTTAGTCATGCTCCCTAGCTGCGCCAATTCATAAAGTACAATCATTTTTAGCTAACACGGCCTAGTGGCTGAATGAGCTCCGGATACCGAATACGAATATACATAGCGATATGTTTGAGTTGCTCACAGTCAGCCTTCAGGCGTAAATCGTCCATGACACCATGAAAATTCGATAGAGTACCCAATACTCAAAGGTAATCAAATCTTCCTTTACAACCACTATGCTTCGGATGTTGGAAATGTTAGAGTTGAATAACTTCTTATGCTGGCGATATTGAATTATCTATATTGAAAGCAACAGAAGCAACAATGTTCGTATATCCAAATACACCTACCATCACAACGGTTAGACGCTCAGTTATTACCATTAGCATTTATTAAAACTATAACTTCATTGCCACCACACAACGCACTGACGTTAGTCCATGAGAAATTATAATCTGGGAGTTTTTCCACTAACGTCTAGGCTTATTCAAAGGAGCCTATTGGACATGGACAACATAACAATGAGTGGAATCTCACTGATTATGAGTGCAAATTCCTAATTCAGAAGGTTGAATGAGATCTTAATTGGGCTGTAGTCGATTTCAGACATTGTAAGGGTTTTAGTAGCGAAAGAAAGGAGTACGTGTGAAAGACACGTTGACGTTGATGTAGCATTTCTGCGCGCGGCCCACCTTCCTTTTCAAAATTTTGCCGGGAAAATATTGATGGTTACGAGCTTTTTCTTACCCCATGGTTTTTCACAAACTCTGGGTATATTTAGAGTGAGTCCAGGGAGATTCTTCGCGGATCGCGAGCTACTGTCTGACTCTTAGACCCGATCGATCTGTATGCTTCTGTGGCGCCATTTCGAAATGATGCCAAAAACAGGAGCATGGTGCCCCACTCTAAACATATTTGTTTTTTGACGGCTTAGCTTTCAGTTCCGTCACATCAAATCGAATTACGTTGACGACTGCTATTTTTTGCTGAGTGTTTGGACCACGCGTTTTTTTCTCCGGATACATCACGACACTATGTCACTCGGTCCCACGACTGTACTTTTTTAGGTATAAATTATCAAAAAGTAGTTTTTGATAATTTGTAATGGATTTTTGAGTTTTCTGATTGTCGTCTAGGCACAGCTGAAGGAGTCCATCGGAAGTGTGAAAACATAACGTAAGCAGAATCTCACTAATTATGAGCGCAAATTCCTACTCTTGAAGATTGAATGATAGCCTAATTGGGCGATTTTAGACATTTCAAAGGTTTCTATGTAGCGAAAGAAATAAAAGAGTAGATATGAAAGGTCGCCGAATTTGATTAAAAAAGATATTGCGTATTCTTGTTAACGTGAGCCTTTCTACGCTAGCCGCCTTCTCTTTTCAAATTCTCTTGCAGGGAATTATGACGGCCACAGCTGTTTTCTCACCCCCATGGTGTTCCACAGTAGCTCTGGATATATTTAGATTCGAATCAGAGGGAGATAGTCCGGATCATGATTTTGTGTGACTCTTAAACCCGTGATCTGTGGACTTCTGTAGGCCACACCAACTATCTTGATATGAAAATGTGATCTTCCAGTACGCCCCGCTCTCTAACATGTTTTTCTCTAATGACTAGATTACGTTACGTTACAGAATCAGATTCAAATGACCGACTGTGGTCCTTTTGCTGTGCTGATGGTGTGGACGCGTGCATTCTCTGCTGCGTACAGCAGGCATGTCACGCGGTCCCACGGCAGCACTTTTTTGGGAACTCTCATTTGTTAACTTCTTGTGTTGCATGTGTCAGGATTCGCGATTCCAGGAATTTCAGTAGAGCGATTTGAGAGCGTGGGAAAGTGGATAAAGGTGACCCGCAATCAGGGCCAACTTTTGCCACTATTTAGAGCTGGAATCTTCTTGGATCGACCATGAATATCACAGCTCGAATAGTAGAATGATTGATTGTTGGATTCAGCGATTCACGTGAGGCAAAAGCAAACGTTCAAAGAAGATGCAGAGGCTTCCACTAGCGTATGTGTAAAAATCGTCTGGCAATTACTCACAAAAGCCGCCTCTGCAACGTTTGTGACTAGTTGCCTTTGCCTCCGCTAAAGTTCGTGAGTGTGCTGGATATGAGGGCTGGAGTACAATCAAACGACATTTTACAGCTGGCTTGAGCGTTTTATTGAACCTGATTACAACGAAAAGACGCTGGGCAATTGCTATAGGATTCACAAAACCCGTTTTTCACCTGTACACTTGTTATATTTACTAGCATTATTGTTTTTTACTTTTACAAACATTATAATCGTATTGAATGTCTCGAGTGTATAATCTTTTCTTACTAAGATCAAGTTGCACATGACTGGCGACTCAACAATAATAAAGAATCAGAACTTGAACTGCGGAATTCCGAGGCATAAGTGAAAGCGAGAAAAACATATCAGAATAGAAGACTTCAAAAAATCCCGCTTTGGGGTTTCCATGTCTGCCGCTCACTTGCTCATTTTATTGCGAAGTGCTCCTCACCATTCAAAGACTCACACCTTGTTCTTCTTTGCCAATTGTTATTATTCAAAAAAAAAATGTTTTGAATATGATATTAAACCCAACAACGGCATTCATATTATGTACGTGAACATTGGGTTTTCAGGCACAACAACAACATTGAAGATTGGGTAGCATGCTCTTCATCACTGCATTTGAAGGAATTTCTTTCGCATATTGCATTATTACGGTACCATTCTACACATTTCTGGTAACTGTATTAATTCATGCTCAGAAGAAAAAAGTGGCAGCTTTGACGAGTTCATTCTTCAAACTTTGTATTACTGCAGGAATTACTGACATCGGTAAGTTAGAAAGAATCGCGATGATGAACTATTAATCATATTGGTCATGACCCCAGGCATTACATTGCCCATCTCTAGAGTAAAGTACATGGCGTCCGCGGTGTGAGCGACTCAGCTGTTTTCCGTCGCTGTTGGCGCCTACTGTTGTGCCAGCGTCATAGCTAGGACCCAGAGCCGCTCTGGTTCTGAACGCTAAGTCGGTAGTTTCGGCCCTTCGGTTCTCCTCTCAAAGGGACCACGGAAGTACAGTCCAGAGGGCATAATTGTCCGTTCTCTTGTGATCACCTCCAGAGGAGATCAGGCTGCAAAAAAACGGTCGGGAGCCCCGCTAAAAGCGTTTGCTAGACGCAAGTATACTCAAACGTCAATAAACGGACAATTCCAAGCCTCAAACTAGTGAATCGATTGCATGAATTACAGTCGTTGTTTTGCACTTGGTGAGATTATTCAAGCATTTACATAGAGGTATATGTCGAAGTGACTGTACCTATAGATGAATTGAAACATTCAACGATTACATTCGAAAGCTATGTCCAAAGCACAATTTCGCTGTCTAGAGCTCTACCCTGTCTAGAGCTCTACCACGTCCACTGTCGCGCATTGAAGGTACTATGACCTCGCTTGGTTTACAACGACACCTGTGCGATTGCAGTGCGGGAAAAGCCCTGTTGCTCATTTTGGGGCATCGGTTAGTAGACATGAAAACCTTTTTTAGCTCACCGTCCCAAGGTAAATGCGTGGGTGTCCACCTTAATGCAACAGCAGGACCCACCTAATGGCCTTCCATGGTGAGAAAAGTATGAGATTAGTGCTATTCCGGTTCTTTACAGTGACGCTACTTAACAACTATATCGGTGCAATATTTCCTAGATGGGGCTGGTTTACAACCATTTACTTGGCTCTCGGCAAGCCATTTGTGTACATACATTTGATCATATCATGGGGTTCAGGTAGGTTTTGCACTGCTAGTCTTATTTTCTTGAGTAACACGTTGACGACAACGCGCGTTTTGGGTTTTTGCGCCGCGTGGGACCACGCGATTTTGCAGGCGCCGCCGCCTCACATCAAATCCGTGAATTTTGAGCTGTAAATACGCAAAACTCGGATGCAACAAAATGTTTTCAATGATATTCGATGTGTCAAACTTATCAGAAGGAACAATTGTAAAAGTTCGATCGAATGACGTGTTTCTGGCAATGAAAAGGCAAGTTTTGTTGCTTTTGCTGTAGTGGACCTCAAAATTATTTTTGACGCGATTGCTTCACAGAAACATATAACTGCTACACGTATAGATTTTTAGTTTCTTATGCTACCCTTTTTTACGTTTATTTTCAAGAGACTTCAAAGAAAACGAGGAATAAATAAATTGAAGGCCTTCTAGAAGTCGGAAAACTTTGCTAAAGTGAAAAATTCAACCTTTCGGTCAACCACATTATGGTCACGTTGTGATGTGTTCTAAAATATGAATGCAAAAAATCAGAAAAGAAGCAGGGCACGCGCAAAAAAATGAACCATTCGGGTATACAGCGCGTGCGCTGTCGCACACTGTCGTTAACGTGTCAATAATGTTAATAACTATGTTTTTAACAATAATCCTAGCGCTTCTATGATTTGAAACTCATATGACAGTGCCATATGTATAAACACATCGAGACTTGCACATTTTCATGACCAGATAGAGTTCTCAGTGTTACTGCTAACGTCTCTGATTTTTCAAGCAATCAACCAGGCATTCTCGGTAACGATACTGGCTGCGAATCGTCTTTCAGCTGTCCTGGTTCCGCATCTGCACGACGAGGTTTGCATCAGTCTGATTGAAGTTTTCCATTAAGTGGTTTTCCTTGTGAAAAATGCTGAGGGATGCTTTGCTGTGATCACCTTCTTGAGAGTAATAAGTCTGAAGAGCACCGGAACCTACCGAAATGAGAAAGCGAATGGGTATGCAACCAATAAGGAAAAATTTTTGCAGTGACCTTTAGCAAAATGCTTGACACATGCGAGCAAGAAGTACCGAAAAGTCAATGCTATCTCTGTTCTGTAAGCACAAACAAGTGCTACTAACTTTTTTGGTACAACACGATCGCACACTGATCTGTACTATTTCCTTCCGTTTCACACATTGACAAACACTGGTACCTTAATAGGAAATCTGAATGCAGTTCATAGAGGAAGAGTTGCGAAATCAATTTAGTTTTATCAGTCACTTGCATCTACCCGAGTACGAAATAGAATGCTTCGACGTTACGGAGCTCTGCTATAGAGATCACACCAATTCCCTTATGGATCGTTCATTCATTTTTTAGATAGATGAACGTTTTTCAACTGGCTCAATCGGGGTCCACTCTTTCTAAGTGACGTAATCTCGATTCTCACGACTCTGTGAAGGATTCGCATTGCTGATCAGATATATGAGATGCATTCTGACGGTGGAAATTCGCCGAGTTTTGGCGATCAGCATTTCCACCAGCATTTGTGAAAGTCGCTCTCTCGGGGCGATTGGTGGTCCTGATCGGGAACATAGTTGCGCATTCGGGTCGCTCTAGCGTTTGGCGCAATATGGTAAAGCTAGTACAAAATGGCAATTTTGCGCTACAGATGAGTGGAGTCAACGGCGAAGGAACTCCGCTTACACACCGGGCCTGAACTCGCTATCAGTACAATCACTGCCGACGTTTGCCAGGTGTGCGCGTGACGAACAGTATAAAATACCGCTAGTTCATGGACCGGCATGTCCATGACAACTCATAATCTTGACGGACTTTCCGTCGTTTTAGCTACACGCCTATACATTTGATACTCCCAAGTAGCAGGTCTATTAATCATTCAGGCGCTTATAAATTGCCTCCAGAGATTTTCCTCTATTTTTCACACATGATTAGGGCGTTTTATAGAAAATACATCCCGCACCCGTGCTTCATGCACGGTATTTTGATCGCACACAGAAGTCACTGCGAAGTCATGTCTTCATGATAGCGCCTTCTTACAGTTATGGCGTGGACGACGACTAATTCTTGCAATGATCATCCAAACCGTTCCGGGTTACATCGGTCCGACGCTAATGCTGAGGAATAACGTGGAGCTCATAAAAACGGAAAGTGGAGGTCTCCTGCTCAGAAGTATTAGGTACGCATATGTGCTTCATCATTTTTTTATTGTATGGGTATTGATTGAAGGAAAATTCTTCACCCGCAGCGATATGGCAACCACTCGCCAACTAGAAGATGATTGGCAAACCAAATCTTAGATCACGCCAAGACTGAGCAAGCCATCTGTCCTTCTGCTCAAAGATCTGGCATTAGATTCCTTCAGGGGTTGTACCACACTCAAAAGTACAACGGCTAAAAGAGTCAGCCGCAGCTCTGGCCAGACATTCGCCTAAATTCTTTAAATTTCCTTATTATTTCTTCTTCCAAGGAGGCTGTATGGCGAAATCATTACGTTACGTAGTTTCAGTAGGAAAACGACGGCAGTCCACTACACGTTTGCTGGCTTGCTTTTAGCAGCCAACGGCATATTTCTTATAGTAGCATATTCCTACCTATTTTATGTTTTTCGAAAAAGGCGTAAAGCCCGGCTACAGGTATGTTTCGATTTTCTTGACGTTCCCTGTCGCCATTGGGCAGCGACTGAAAATCGTATTGAAGTAAATAGCACTGTTGTACAGAAAAAAGAAAAGTTGCAAAGGTGACTCTACTGTCCGAATCGAGTCCTCTCTTAATCAATCAGACGTACATATCACTCGAAATTTATCTCTTCCATTCAATCAAAAGTACTCGCTGGACTAAAAGAAGACAAAGACACAAAGAGCTTAATAGAGATTCAGTTGCCTCGACAGCATCCTCAAAATTAACATTCCTCAAGTACATATAAAAATTTAGGCAGTCGTCAGAACACATGCGCAGCGTGATCGTCACTACGATTTGACGAAGCGAAGAGAAATTCGGTTACTACAGATGGCTTCGTGGATAGGTTTGACTCCGAATAGTCTTACAATTGATACAATATGCAACGTTGGAAAAAATGAATGATGTCGAGAGTAGGCTCACGTTTATACCTTCACAAGCAAAAAGCTTGCAAATTACCGGAAAGCGTTTAAGGCAATCAAGGCGTTTTAATCTAACCCGATTTAAACGCCGGCAGTGGCGTTCAAATCGGGTTGTATTGGTAACTAGATGAGCGTCGAGTAAACAAACAAAGAAGAATTTTTTGGGATGTAGACCATACACTAAAGATGACCTTATCATGTAAACCAAAATGGTACAACTGCCCACTCTCCATTTACAGTATTAATCCAAGTGATTATGGTTATGCTCATGACGACGAATCAATTTCCATGGTTTCCCTTTACACTAGAGCAGTTTTACATCTTGAACGATAACCTAAGGTGAGTCTTCCCTGCATCATAACATGCTTTGCAAAACTTAGGTACTGCAGACAAAAATTATGCAGCAAATATGTTTTAGTTCCATCTACTCTGGCGTTAGCGCTTATTTGCTATGGATCTTCAGCGACGTTCTTCGACATCACGTATATTTGTTACTAAGAATTAGGAAGCGTTCCGTTAATCCAGCCATCACTGTAATGTCCTCCAACTGCTCAGTTCAGAGGCAGAGTGTGCGACAATAAACTCTTTCGTCATCGATGTCGCAAATGATGTCGTGAAACGATGAAGCGGAGGTGACCGAACGTCGCGAGATAAAGGAGCGTTTAGTCACAAAGGGCGGCTCTTGTACCAAGGATTTCTATATGTATTATAGATGTATAGTGAAGGTCAGAATCATTCAAGTTACAACATGTTTCGTAGCTCTTTTACGAACTCCTCTCGTAGATGTAATATGGAGGAATTCTCAAGTGTATTCTGGTTTATACATATAAAGATTGAACAATCTGCTTTAGTGAGTCCAAATAGCTCCCGGGCTTCATTGGTAAATGACACATTTTTGTATAAATGGAAACGAAAATTCCGAGAATTGAGATGATTCTGTCCTAGGTCGTCAGGCTGGCTTCATTCTGGCTGAATGTAGTCCATCAGTCACTTGCGATTCTAATTCTTCATTGCGACTCAGCTCCAGCTCTGAATATTAGGACATAACTTCGCCTCTTAGCTGAACAGCCGTGAAGCTCTTTTACGTTTGTATCGGTATTGTTTTATTGATTACACGCACATAGTAAAGAATTTTACATCATCTCCCTTGACTGAGACGGTTTTGTCGACTTAATAAATAATAAAGTTACCTACCGCGTCAGCTCTGGTTTATATTGTATTATTCAGTCCGAAATTCCTTCATCTGGAAGCGAATAGGGACGGCAAAAAATACGCGATTTTTGTTATCACCGAACCCACAACTAATATCGATTTTGAAAACAGAAACATAGAATACCAGTTTAGCTCCGCCCGCTACCGCGCGCATGACACGGAAGCCTTTGATAGAACTGACAATCGGTGAAGCTTTGGGTTTCACCGCTTAACTATAGCTGCTTCGTTAAATGCATTACTGTCCGTTGCCCATCTTGGCTGTATCTCACTGTTTGATAAGCGCAGTGAAGTGCACAGCTAAAGTGATGATGTAAACAACCACTATGCGTCGAGTATCGAGGTAATTTAGCGGTCGAATATCTCAAAACGGAATGCCCAGTATTCATTATCATATTTATTCGAGCATCCCATTCATCCTCAAGAACTCTAGAAGGTGTAGCGGTCGAAAGGTGTTTGAGTTTACAATTATAACGCTAATGAAATGATAGAGATGTAAAGCGGTTCGAAAGGTGTTTGGGTTTACAACTACAACACCAATGAAATAAAATGCATTATCTACAATCTGGTTTCAAGTGATCTCTACGCTCGTACGCATATCGTTACTATCAGTCCTCATCAGTCGTTATCAACTTTTGACCCCACCAAATATGTTCCGTCCCACCCCTATATCATGCCCCAAAATCAGCTCCTGACGACTGCTGCGAAGCGCACTATGAATTTCGTGAAATTTGTGTTTCAGCGCCTCTTATCTGCTCTTATCAGTCGTTATCACTTTGTGACCCCCACCAAATATGTTCCCGTCCCACCCCCTATATCATATCAAAAAATCAGCTCCTAACGACTGCTGCGACGCGTGCTATGAATTTCGTGACACACACACACACACACAGACAGACATAGCGTTTTATATATAGTAGGGATAGTAGGGTACCGGATGATGTAAAGAATATATGAGTAAGATGAAAGGACGGAAATATCATCGGGCCTAGTATATTCAAATTCATATTCTGATTCCATTATTCCTCGAAATATTGTCCCTAATCATAACAGTGATGCCCATCTCTTCGATTCCGCTGTCCTTCCTGCCCTAACCTACGCCTCAGAGACTTGGACTCTGCGCAGGCAGGACGAGCATGCGGTCAGCGTTATCCAACGCGCTGTCGAGAGGACGATGCTAGGAGTAACCCTATACACGCAAGTGCAGAGGGGAATCCGGAGTGCCGAACTACGCCAACGATCGAAGATCAGGGACGCTGCCGTTTTCGCCAAGGAATCGAAGATAAGGTGGGCCGGACACGTCATGCGATTTTGCGATGACCGTTGGACCAGAGCGGTTACCGACTGGATCCCTCGGGACGTCAAACGAACACCTGGACGACCGCCGGCCCGATGGTCAGACTTCTTCACGAAAGCTCTGAACGAAAGGAATGAAGGACTCGTGTCCCTCGAGCGAGGAGGGTCCACTGGACAACTCTTGCACGCGACAGGGACGAATGGAGACGTTGCTGGCGCCCGCTCGAGCAATTCGATGATCAACGGGACGACAGGTGATACAGGTGATACACTAATCAGTATTGCCGCAGCTTTTTCTTGATTGTTGCTGGTCTGATCGTGAATGCTTTACTACATTTCTTGTGTTTGGCATTGATTGTACTGATCCGTGTTCACAGCAAGTTTGCTTAATCATGTCTTTCACTTTTCTGAGATATGTATATACTGAACTTGTCCCAACAATGATCGGCGTTGGCTTTGATCGATTCTGGCTGCGGTAGGTTTACTTGAACTAATGCCGGCTGGATGAATTAACAGGCATTTCTGATCAACAGAATGTTGGTAGTTGTATTCCAGTTAATATTTCTTGCTGCGGATGCTCACTCTATCCATACGGTGTCTAAAAATAGGAAATTTCGAAAGTTATGTCACACTTAGTTTCCTCTATTGCTCCTTGAGTCGGTAGTGCTACATATGCAAAATGCTTTTTCATTGTGCTAATTTCTTTCATATTAGATGTTAAATCTTTCCAGTCACCAACGAATGAAGCTCAATGGGATCTTTAACGTCCTTCGAGCACGATTTACACGCCCTCATGACTGATCGGCAAATAGTTACAAATCGCTAACGAATTGCGAGATGAGATCGTTGCACCAGGCCTCAACACTGTTTGAAAGTGACGGGATTCCATCTCGTTTGCATGCTGACTCTCGCCACTTCCCCGAATTTTCATACCCTCTCAATCTCGTGCCCTCGTGAGCTGGGGAAAGTGGCAAGGCCAACGTGCAAAGGGAGTCCCGCCACTTTCAAACAGTGTCGAGTCGCTGGTACATCGTTCGATCCGCTGGCACATAGTTCGATCCGCTGGTACACAGCTCGATTCGCTGGTGCAACGCTCGTATCCGCGATTCGCTAGCGAATCGCTGGATTCGCAAAGTCTGTATCGGCCCTATGTTTTCTTTTGTTGTACGCAAGTCAGTATACAGCTTAAAGGAATCTTCCGCGGAAAAAGCTCCGCCTCCATTACCACAGAAAAACGATACCCCTTAGGCCCCTAGCCTCATGAGCATAGCAAAAAGAACGGAACATAAGCGTTAGTTTCGATAATACTAATCCTACACACAAGACAAAATGATCACTCTTTCCGTGGAAGATTCCTTTAAGGTATCGTTTTCTGTGGTAATGAGGGCGGAGCTTTTTCCGTGGAAGATTCCTTTAAGCAAAGGATGTCCTCCCTGTTGACGCCTTCACCGTACTGTAATCACGTGAAAGCTCTTCACAAGTCAACATTCCCAGCTACGATGTGAATCTAGGTGTCGTGTCCCCACGATTAGGCAGAGTCAAAAACTTTCTATTCAACGAGTGATTTGTAG